AAAATGACTGTGCTGCTATCAATTCAAGTACATACCAATTATAGTTATGGGCTTAGACACCTAATCCAACAACCTCATCATAACATGTAGGTGCAAGTGAAGAATCTTCGGGGCGTTCAAAAAATAAGGAAGTTGGTGGAAACAAAAGAGTTGGTGGAAAAAAAAGAGATGCAAGGGCATTAGAAGTTGAGGAGGAGATTGACAAGCTTGCAAGGTCGTTAGTGGGAAAAAAATGAAAGAATTGAAAAAAAGTGAAATGGATAAGGATGTTGATGCATGTATGGAGAAATTGAACAAAATGGAATGGGGAGAAGAAGATGAGAGACACAAGGCCGCTCTTTTGCTATTTGGTGAAAGTGTCGATGTTAGGAAAGTTTGGTTACGACTTTCGCATACTAGTTGTGAGTCGTGGGTGATGGATGCGGGTAGGAAGTATGGTTACCTTTGATGATGTTTACTAGTTTTTTGTTGCATGACTTTTTGTTATTTGCATGACGTTTGGATGCTATGTTTGGTGACTTTTTTGGATGTTACTTTAGATGATGTTTACTAGTTTTTTGTTATATGACTTTTGTTACTTTAGATGATATGTTATTGGATATTGAATATGACTTTTGTAAGTTACTAGTTTTTTGTTATATGACTTTTGTTACTTTGGATGATGTTTACTAGTTTTTTTGGTGCATGAATTTTTTTTGACACGTTACCTAATTGTTTGTAACAGGTCAAGTGTGGTTTCTGATGGTGAAGTTGTAGCTTTTCTTTTACTTGTGATTTATTGGTTGAGGTCAAACCGGCGCAAGCTAATCAGAATTCATAGAATTAAAGATAACAATTCAAGCGGGTATGCGTATACGCAAGATTTGATGTACGGAGACCCTACACAATGTTACGTTATGATGCGTCTTACACAAGAGGCATTTGCATTATTATGCAACCATTTTACCCAAAAAAATTGGTTGCAAGCTAGTAGGACAATAAGCATTGAAGAGAAGATGACTATGTTCTTACATGTTATAGGACATAATGAACGTTTTCGCGCGGTTAAGGGAAGATTTCATCACTCTACACAAACGATTCATCAATGTTTTCACGAGGTCCTAACTATAATGATGTGTTTTGCAAAAGAAATTATAGTACCAACAAATCCTAATCCAACAAGACATAACTCGGAACGACATAGACGGTTAAACGAGATTTTTTCCGGAGCAATAGGTGCATTAGATGGAACTCTTGTACATACGGTTGTACCCGTCGATCAACAAACTCGTTATAGGGGAAGAGGAAAAGGATAATATTTTCAAAATATAATAGGAATTTGTGATTTTGATATGATACTCACATTTGTTTGGGTTGGATGGGAGGGTATATCACATGATTCAAGAGATCTGAAAGAAGTTGCATTTAATTCGACTTCTGGATTTCCATTTCCTCCACCAGGTTTGTAATCATTATATAACTTTTATTATCTATCTTCTTTATATAATATGTGTTACACTCATTTGCAGATACATTTTACCTTTGTGATGTCGCATATATAAAAACACTCGTGGGTTTATGGCTCCATACCGCAATACTAGGTATTGGTTAGCCGATTTTCGAAGAGGCAGACCTTTAACTAGAGAAGAAAAGTTCAATTATGCTCATGCACAACTTAGAAATGTTATTGAGCGTGCTTATGGTGTATTGAAGACGAGATTCCCAATCTTAAAACAAATGACTCCTTATCATTTTACAGTGCAAAGAGACATAGTCATTGCTTGTGTCGCGGTCCATAATTTTATAAGAAAATACAATATAGAATATGACTTGTTTACAAATTTTGAGGAAAACATTATAGTTACTCCTAACGTCCAATGTGGGGGAATTGATAGAGAAAACATACAAGACATAGAATGGGGTCCAGAAGCCATTCAATATATGCGTGTTTTGCGTGATCAGATTGCAAATCAACTACCTTCACCTACTTTACATTAAATTATTATGTTATTTTAAATTTTATTATGTTTTTATTTGGATATTAAATGATTTATGTTTAATTTACATTTTGTATGACAATTTTTATTTGGATTTTTAAATGACTTGTGTGTAATTTACAATTTGTATGACAATAAGTATGTTTTTATAATTATTCAGTAACGTCATCTATCACTATATACAACAGCAGTGTAAAATGATCATTTTTCATCGGTCAACACATTCAGTCAGATGTACAATCAAACAACATGAAATCTTATTCAGGATTTCTTACACATCCAGTCAGCACTTTCTCAGTCAGCAACTATCAATCGGGGCCTAAATGTTCATGATTGAAGGGTCACAATAGTATATGACACGTAAGAAGACCTAATATTGACCTCTGTTTTTTGGACAATATTACATTTAAACCCTCTGTTACCGATTACAATGATGTTTTCGACACGTCTTGAAAACTTTAATGATATAATATGCAACCTATAAACATTAATAACATGTTTTGAATAAAACTGCAGCTTTGTTTAACGTGCAAGAAAAAACATTAATAATACCTTTTTTGAATAAAACTATATCTTTTTTGTGCTTCTTTAAGACATTTTCCTCCATAGATAATCAAAATATCTCAAGACTTTTATTGATATTTCGGTATTGCCCTACCAAAATGCCAATCCAGGGCCAAATTGTTTACAACAAGATCAGTCGACATCCCAGAAATTAACGCTGAAAGCTGAATGATTTCATTATTAAATACGAAAACAAAAATAGAAACACCACTTCACACACTTCATCGCACCGCCAAGGCCCCTTTGATTTTTCGTTCCCCCCACTCTCTCTCTCATACAACCGTCCGCAAACTCTGAAAAAATCACAAATTATTCCATCATTTTCTTTTTTGTTTTTATTTTTTATCAGAGGCCACATCGAGGTTCCTAATTAGAACTTTCCTTTATCAGCGATTACCTGAAATTTTGGATTCATTTCATCTATGATGCTTGTTCTTATTGATACGATCTCCATGGAGATGTGGTTCCCTATTGATTGAATCCGTGCCCTAAGTTATTCGCCATGTTCGAAGCGCACGTAAGAATTTATCTCTGTTTATTTCTTACATCCACAGTATTTATGAATTCGTTTATGTTAATTTACGTTTACTTTGTTTTTTTGATGCTAATTCGTACCTATCATATTTGCTCCTCTTCCTAAGGATGAGCTACGCTTTGACTTTGGATGCACAACAAGTTTCTTGCCAACTTGATTTTAAACTTTTATTGATATTCTGCTAATTGCATTTGAACCTTGATAAGAAGTAGAAACAGACAAATGCTTCTCTAATTTGTTAGAAAATACGTATCTCTTGATTATTAAATGTTGCAGGCTTCACATTGTAAATCCAAGTGCAGCTCTTTATTTGTGATGGAAGGAGGAACAGTTAATATGTTTGTTGTTGCATTTTTTCTTACTTTTGTTAGCTCTTTTTGAGTTCTACGTGAAATATTTGCATCACGATATATTCTTCCTCAGCTCCGTGATAAACATCTAACCTGAAAAATGATATGAAATCTTTAAGCAATTGCAACATCTTGATAGCTAAGTTTGAGCTTGTAGAAAGCATTAGGACTGAAAAGTCAGGCTAAGATCTGAAATAAATCCACATCAATTACCTTTAAAAGAATTAGGGTTGGTATTAAAAGTCACAGTGCATCTCTTTTATCTAATATTTTGTTTTGGAAGATAGGTAGTCTTAATTGATGCATCATATGGTCGAAGTGAACAGGTGTAGTTAAGAAGCTTGTTCCACATGCTTGATTGCTGTACAACAGCCACACTGTAACCATGAACTTACATTAGACCTTGCATTTAGTTTATGAGATGTCCTCAAATGATATCAACTATCTTGTAGATGAATCACATTGTGCTTCTAATGAAAGTGTTCTTATTGTGTTATCTGGATGAATGGATGTGTACACCTTAGAATGCCATGAAAGCAAGAAGTTGAAAGTTTGTTCAATAGCGAGTTATGGAAATTGATGGATTTCATTTAACATCTTTATGCTTTTAGGTATTGCATTTGCTTCGACGATATTTGGGCGAATATGTCCATGGACTTTCGTCAGAGGCCTTAAGAATCAGTGTCTGGAAAGGTTTGTTAATAAATTCTGCACATTTTCTTAATAATCTCTAAGGATGGAGGACGAGGTTGCTTAATATTTTCAATTGTTGGGTTGAAATTCTAATAGCCAGTTATGTCTTCAGGTGACGTGGTTCTAAAAGACTTGAAATTGAAGGCAGAGGCACTCAATTCATTAAAACTTCCTGTTACTGTAAAAGCTGGTTTTGTTGGTACCATAACATTAAAGGTACCTCTTTACACAATAAAACTTGTTTTTGGACCTCTTTATTAGATATGAACTTCTGATTCCTATTGCTTTAAATGAAATATAGGTTCCTTGGAAAGGTCTTGGAAAAGAGCCTGTGATAGTTCTTATAGATCGTGTGTTCATTCTTGCTCATCCAGCTTCTGATGGAAGGTCTCTTACGGTAAGAAGAAATGTGTTCTTAGTTCACATGGTTCACTTCTTTCAAAGTTGATGGGTTGATGTTGATTACATGATTATTTGTTTCTTAATTTTACAGCCTGAGGAGCGGGAAAAGATTTTTGAATCGAAGCTTCAACAGATTGAGGTAATATATTGCCTTTTCTCCCATAGTATCCTTAATATTTAAGCTGTCTCTAGTTACATTCTGTTTGATTTAACTGTTGGTTAACTTTATTAAGTCTGGGCTGCTTGCTGAATATTCAACTGTCTTGCAGGAAGCCGAGACAGCAACACTTGATGCAATATCAAAAGCAAAGCTTGGAAATGTATGTGCTTAAGTTTTATTTGTGTTTAAAGCATAAGTCTTTATGTTGCTCAACAGCTAGTCTCTTTACATTAGTTGTCTTCTGAATGCTTTGCTCTCTGGTATCATCTTCTGAGTGTGCCATCTTTTATTGTTTGTAGGCGCCTGCTGGAAATTCATGGTTGGGTTCTTTGATTGGTACAATTATAGGAAATCTTAAGATCTCAATCGGAAATGTCCATGTCAGATATGAGGATCCTATTAGGTTGGTGTCATTTTCCATCCCTAGTTTAATGAAAGCTTCTTAGTCCATATTTCTTCATCCGCTTGATTTGAACAATGTTTTTTTTGTTCAGCAATCCAGGACATCCTTTTGCTGTTGGTTTTACTCTGGCAAAGCTTGCTGCTTTTACAGTGGATGAAAAGGGGAATGAAACATTTGACACCAGTGGTGCACTAGATAAATTGCGAAAGGTCAGTCCCATTTGCCATCTTTTGTATCCTGCTTTTCCATTTAAATATTTAGTCACGCCTTTTTAGGTCTTAGGAACAGGAAAAGAACTCTTAACAAAGTTCAATTCTTTATGTTCTGGTCATGATAGATGGCTTCTGCTTTTTCATCACTTACCAAAAATGTCAAGTTTATGTCTTTCTGATATCTCACATGTTTTTTCAGTCATTGCAACTTGAAAGGCTTGCTATGTATCATGATTCCAACCGACCTCCTTGGAAGGTGGATAAGAAATGGGAAGATCTCAGTCCTAAGGATTGGGTTGATGTATGATTCTTGTTCCTTGCATATTTAAACGGTTGTAATGGAAGTAGCAAGTACCCATTGATGTGCAAGATTTGTAAGCTTAATTTTTCATGAATGTTAGATATTTGAAGATGGAATAAATGAACCTGCCAAGGGTCATGCAGTTTCTGTATGGGCTCGAGATCGCCACTACTTAGTTTCACCAATTAATGCTCTTCTCAAGTATCACCGCTTGGGGAATGATGAGAGAACTGATCCAGAAATGCCTTTTGAGGAGGCCCATCTTATTCTTGGTGATGTTTCTCTGACACTCACAGAGGTGACAAGAACCTTGACTTTTGATGGAATTGTTCATGCTCTTTTAGTTTCTTCTTTGAAGTCGTTTCTAATTGGATAAGTTTGATATATTGTTTTACAGGCACAATATCATGATTGGATTCGACTTCTTGAGGTCATATCAAAATATAAGTCATATGTTGAGGTGTCACATTTAAGGCCTGTGGTGTCAGTTAAAGAGGGTCCTAAACTGTGGTGGGATTATTTTGCTCAAGCTGCATTGCAGCAGAAGAAAATGAGGTATTCCATACATACATACATACATACATACATACATACATACATGCATACATATCTCTTAATACTACCAGTATCTACTTGTTATATGATTTGGTTTATTGCTGTCCATAGCTAATAATTTGTTAATGGTTGATGCTTCAGCTATAGGTTGTCTTGGAGCCAAATTCAGCACTTCTGTCGTCTTCGTAGGCGATATATTCAGCTGTATGCTGGTATACTCCAACAGTTGAAGGATTCTGATGACCCAGAAGCTAGAAGTATTGAGAGAGATCTTGATCCAAAAGTTATTCTTCTATGGAGGTTTGTGTTCTAGTTACACAAGCACATGCTACTGGTTTTTTGGTTTAATAATTAGTTGAATCTTTTGTAATCTCTGATTGTGAGCTTTTAGAGATTTTGTGTTCATCTTTCAGGTTCCTTGCACATGCAAAAGTTGAATCTGTGAAATCAAAGGAAGAAGCCGAGCAGAGGATGAAAAAAAAGGATAGCTGGTTTTCATTTGGATGGTCTGTTACTGATTTGTCTCCTTTTCTTCTGGTTTATGCAACTGTTTTTATATTTTGTTTTACATGATCATTTATTATTGTGCATTGTTGAACTATCCAATGACATCCTGTTTTCCTTTAATTCAGGAATGGGTCAGAGCAAGATGCTCTTGAGGGAGCTCAAAGTGCTGAGAACGGATTGAGCAAAGATGAATGGCAGACGATTAATAATTTTTTGAGTTTCCAACCAGATGAAGAGGCGGCAACACAGTCAGGAAAAGATATGCAAAATATGACACAGCGAATGATACTTGTGTCCGTTGGTCAGGCTGCTGCAAGGATTATTAATATAAATGAAACTGAAATTGTGTGTGGTAGATTTGAACAACTTCAAGTCTCTGCCAAGTTTAAACATAAAAGTATATATTGTAATCTCACTTTGAAGTACTATGGAGTTTCTTCCCCTGAAGGTTCACTTGCTCAGGTTTGTTAACGTTTCCTTTGGCTCCATTTACATTTTTATTTACATCTGAGTCACCGTTTGGATTCTGCTTTGAATGTTCTTCTATTTGCAGAGTGTCTGCAATAAGCAGAAGGCAAATGCATTGGGTGCTAGTTTTGTGTATTTACCTGCTGGAGAGAACCTAGAGTGGAGGGCTTCAGCAACAATATCTCCTTGCCATGTCACGGTATTTTATTGCAAATAACTATAATCCTTTTAATGTTACAATTTATTCGGTTTTCTTAGTATAATTATAATTTGGTGATGGCTTGTTATTGTCTTGAACATTATCTTTATATATACCCTGTGGTCTATCTTTCTCTTCTTTACTTCTTCCTCTTTCTTTTGTCTTTTATTCGACTCGTTTTATGTCTGATTTATAGGTCTTGATGGATAGCTGTAACCGCTTTCTGGAATTTATGAAGAGGAGCAGTTCTGTTAGCCCTACAGTTGCTTTTGAAACAGCAACTGCTTTGCAGGTACAGTTAGATGAGCTTTAATAATTTCAGCTATATCTTTGAGAAACCAATATCTCACTCTTTGATAAAACAATTACAGAATAAGATAGAAAAGGCGACTCGTCGAGCTCAAGAGCAATTTCAAACAGTTTTAGAGGAGCAAAGCAGGTTCACTTACAGAATAAGATAGAAATATTTTTGAACACATTTATTTTTCATTTGGATTTGCTAATTTCCTGTATTTCTTACTTGCATTGCAGATTTGCTCTTGATATTGACCTTGATGCTCCAAAAATCAGAGTTCCTATAAGATTAAGTTCCTCGTCAGAGTATAACAGTCATTTTCTTTTGGATTTTGGTCATTTTACATTGCGAACAGAGGTATGTTTTAATTACTCTTTGGGATATTTTCTGTTCCCTCAATGTGATTTGAAGCTAAACACACGTTTTGTTGCAGGAGGACCAGCCTGATGATAAAGGACAAGCCTTGTATACCCGTTTTAATATTTCTGGAAGGGATATAGCTGCCTTCTTTACCGATGGTAGCTCTGAGATTCTTGAATCTCTGAATAATAGTAGTCAGCTTTCTGCATATCCTGTTGTGGATGGTGCTTGTGTTTCATATTCTCTGGTTGATAGATGTGGGATTGTTGTTATCGTTGAGAAGGTATTCTTTTTTTTCTGATTTTTTTGGTGGAATTCACCTATTACACACCCTCTTCTAAAGCTTTCTTTTGCGCCTGTCAACTGAAGATTAAAGTACCTCATCCATGCCATCCATCAACTCGTGTTTCTGTCCGAGTTCCTACACTTGGTATTCGCCTTTCACCATCAAGAGTCAGCCGGATTATGGAACTCTTGAAGGTACTCTCTGGTACCATAGAAAGTGGGACAAAGCTTGTAGAAGAATATCAAGCTGAACATACCCCATGGAGTTCCTCTGATCTTGCAAATGATGTTCAAATACTTGTTTGGAGGGTACATGTTCTTTCACAAATTGATATATTTATCGAATTTCATCTCCTCCATTCTTTTATTAAAATTTTGTTTCGTTCAGGGGATTGGCTATTCAGTTGCTTCATGGCAGCCCTCACATCTTGCTTTGGCTGGATTGTATCTTTATCAGTTGGAGTCTCAGACATCTACCAACTATCAGCGGTGCACTAGGTGCACATAGTTCTCCCCCTTCATTGTTTTGAGTATTGTTGTTGCTCTTTTTTAGTTTTTTTAGTCAAATAAGGATGTAACTTATGTTTGTTTGGCTGAAATGATGCAGCATGGCTGGTAAGCAAGTCTATGAAGTACCTCCCGACAGTCTTGGCGGTTCTTCTTCTTGTATTGCTGTGTATAATAGAGGCATGGACATCCAGAAGGTAAATGATGTTTCTTTCTTGCTTACAGAGTACAGAGTTAAATAGCAACATCACCTTCTCAATTCCTTATGGCTAATTATGGTGCTAACTTATATCTTTTTGGTGATATTGTGACACTTTTTTAAGGCTTTAGAGTCTTCCAGTACGTTGGTTGTAAAGTTCCAGAACGAGAAGGAGAAAACAAGTTGGCTTAGAGGACTTGTACAAGCAACCTACCGAGCTTCTGTATGATGCTAACTTGTCATATTTAATCCATTTTAATATCATCTTGTTTAGCTACAAGGTATGATGTTTAATGTACATGGTGTAGGATACTCCATCAGTTGATATGCTTGCAAAACAAGGCGAAAGTGTTGGTGATATCGTTGCAGAGACTTCTGAACCTACTGAACCTGGTTCTACTGAAACGAATGCAGCTGATCTTGTTCTTCATGGAGCTTTGTTGGAAACAAAGATCACAATATATGGGAAGGTTAGCTGTAGTTATTATCTTAGTGTACATTTAGTACGATGTTTCTTTCCTTCCTATTTCCTAATTCCTATCCCATTCATATATTATTGTGTGTAACAAATATATGCAAACATTGTTCAACCTTGCAGATGGAGACTGAGGGGCATGAAGTTGTGGAGACTCCGTTTCTTGAGATTCTTGCCGCTGGAGGAAAGGTTTGTAAACTAAAAAGATGATCAGTTTTTCTGCATGTAGTTTGTGATTGTTGTACTTATAACTATACTTGCAGGTGTCTGTTGAATCTTGTGAAGGGGATCTAACAGTGAAGATGAATTTACACTTGTTGAAAGTCAAAGATGAACTTCAAGATTCTTCATCAGGTCCATATTATCTGGCTTTATCCGTTGTGGAGAGCTTCCGTCCCTGTCCTACAAACCCTCCTCAGGTGGAGGAGATATCGGCAGGCGTGGCCGATGATGACGATGATTTCGCAGATGCCGAAGATGATTTCCTTGAACCCGTGGTTCATGAGAAAGATCGTGGAGCTGGAGATGAATTTTTTGAAGCAGAAGGCATTGATGAAACTGATTTTGTGTCAGTTACCTTCTTGAAACGGACCCCACAATCCCCTGATTATAACGGTATAGATTCTCAGGTAAGTTGTTTAACACAGTTTTGATCTATGCAATGAATGTAATATAAGTCAAACATACTCGATGATTTTTTAATTTCTTTTGTTCTTTTATATAATTGTAGATGAGCATCAGCATGTCAAGATTTGAATTTTTCTGCCACCGCCCTACTATTGTTGCTTTAATTGATTTGGGCATTGATATGGGCACTGCAAGTAGTGGGACAAGTGGTCCTGCTCCATCAGAGGAAGAGGATGCAACTTCAGTGCAAAAAGACAAAGCTGAAGAAAATGAGCTAGCAAAAGCTGATGAAAATGAGCAAGCAAAAGTCAAGGGTTTATTGGGACATGGGAAATCCCGAACTGTATTTTCCATGGCAATGAATATCGACAGTGTCATTGTATATCTTAACAAGGAGGATGGATCTCAACTTGCAACGATTGTGCAAGAAAGCTTCATGTTGGGTCTTAAGGTCAGGAACTACCACCCCCTCTCTTTATTTTTTTTTTCTCACTATTTTGGTACATATCTAAACACTTTATTTTACAGGTTCACCCTGGTTCTATATCAGTTGAAGGTACATTAGGAAATTTCAGGCTGTGTGATTGTTCACTAGGTACGGATCATGTTTGGGGATGGATTTTTGATATACGGAATCAAGGAGCTGAATCTCTTATCCAGGTACATTTTTTATAGTTGATGTTATGTGTATAAAGGTTTACTGATCATTTACTTTACCCTAATTTCTCTTTCTTTATATGTGTGTATATATCAGTTCTCATTTGAGTCCTACAGTCCTGAAGATGATGACTATGAAGGATATAACTTTAGCTTGAATGGCAAACTTTCTTCCATTCGTATTGTTTTCCTCAACAGGTTCATTCAAGAGGTTACTTTTGACTTTCTTTCTCTTCATTTCAATTGAATGACTAAGTAAAATCACTGTACATTGTCTATGTGAACGTATTTTATTACTAAAATGAAGTTAATTCATGTTGCAGCTCGTTACATATCTTGTGGCACTGGCGCCTCCAGTTTCAGAAGAAGCGATCAAGTTTGTTGATAAAGTTGGAGGGTTTGAATGGTTGATTAAGAAGTATGAGATGGATGGAGCTGCTGCAATGAAGTTGGACCTCTCATTAGAGACTCCAATAATAGTGGTACCACGGGATTCCAATGGCACAGAGTTAGTAGTTCTTCCATTCCAACTGCAGTTTGTTCATAATCATATCATATGTGTTGTGACTTGTGAAAATGGTTTATCATTGTTTCTTTCATGGATGCAGTTTCTTGGAAATTGATCTAGGCCATTTGAAAGTGACCAATGAAGTTAGTTGGCATGGACCAGCGGAAGATCCAGCATCTGTTCATCGTGACATTATGCATGCACAGGTACTACTTTCTCAGATTTCCTTTTCTTCTTACTGGAATATAACATTAACATGAAGTAACGTGTTGCATATATATATATATATATATATATATATATATATATTATATACTGCTTCAGATCTTTGGACTCAATATGGCTGTTGGAGTAAATGGTGTTGTAGGGAAGCCAATGATACGTGAAGGCCGTGACTTTCATATCTTTATCAGGCGCAGTCTAAGAGACATTTTTCGCAAAGTTCCAAATTTTGCCTTGGAAGTGAAGGTTTGGGCTTCAAATTAAACCCACTGTCACAGTTTTCTGTTTTTATATCTTTTCAATATATGATCAAACTCATAAACCCACTATTGTAAACAGATAGGCTCATTGCATACCGTGGTGTCTGACAAAGAATATGGTATCATCACCAACTGTCTTGCCATGAATTTGGGTGAACAACCTAACCTCCCTCCTCCTTTCCGTGACATAAACTCTGACAACTCGGATACAATACGCCTCCTGGCTGATAAAGTCAACATGACCAGTCAAGTTTTCTTGTCACGTTCAGTCAACATAATGGCAGTTCAGATGGATCATGCACTGCTAGAGTTGTGCAATGGCATTCAAGAGGATACACCTTTAGCACATATCACTGTAAGTAAAGCAAAACATCAGACGTCATGTCCCTTTGTATATGTTTTCTGAAATCTTGGTTATTTTTTTTCAGCTGGAGGGCTTGTGGCTTTCGTACAGAATGACTTCTTTTTCAGAAATGGACTTATACATCACCCTTCCCCGGTTTTCGATTTTGGATGTTCGTCCAGACACCAGACCTGAAATGCGGTTGATGCTTGGGACAAGCACTGATGTTCTCAAACCAGCTTCTACTAAAGGTGGATTTGTAAGATGTGAAACTATGACCACCAACGTGGATGTACCACATTCAACCATGGTATTGATGGATCTCAGAATGAGGGCATCATCTCAACTGCTTGTGGTTCGGATTCAACTCCCTCGAGTTCTTGTTGTTCCTGATTTCCTTCTTGCAGTTGGTGAGTTTTTTGTCCCGGCTTTGGGAGCCATAACTGGAAAAGAGGAAGTCATGGATCCTAAAAATGACCCAATCAGTAAAAACAACCCGATAGTTCTATCTAGCACGATGTATAAACAGATTGAAGATGAGGTAACCCTCACACCAAATCGCCAGCTAGTAGTAGATGCTGCAGGAGTTGATGAATATACTTATGATGGATGTGGAAAAACTATAATTTTGAATGAGGATCTTGATCAGTCACAATCTTCAGAATTCCGACCCATTATTATTATTGGAAGGGGTAAAAAACTGCGGTTTGTAAATGTCAAGATTAAGGTAATGCGTAATATATTATATAGTTGATGCTTATGAGCCTATCTCCAGTATGTGATATCTTACATAACTTTTTTCTTGATGTCAGAATGCTATGCTCTTGACGGATTACACATACTTGAGTAATGATAGCAGTTTCTCGACCTCTGTTGATGATGGTGTAGAAGTTGTGGTTCAGGACATTGTTGCTTCAATCAATGAAAAAAAGAGTTCAGATAAAGCTGAAAAAATCTTAAACTCCTCAAGTACTTCTGAAACCACTCAAACCGAAACATCTAAACCAAGTATCAGTTTCGAGGCTCAGGTAGGTCAATATATAATGGCTCCACCCCCACATCACATGTGTTGTTTTGATATTGATTTATTCTGTGTATATTCTATTTATTCCAATACTTCCCTAATCTATGTTCCATTCGATGTATTAATATTGCATTATACTTTTGCTGATTTCCCAGGTGGTGTCTCCTGAATTCACTTTTTATGATAGCAGCAAACCATCCGTTGATGGTTCCTTTAGTGCTGAAAAACTACTTCGTGTAAGAATGGATTTGAGCTTCATGTAAGACTCTGCTTTTTGTTAAAACTGAAGTATATTTCTCCTTCTCCAAATGGAAGGGTAATTTACATCTATTGTTCTACACACTTGCTGTTTTCAACAGGTTTGCATCAAAAGAAAATGATACATGGGTTCGAGCTCTTCTCAAGGATTTAACTGTTGAGGCTGGTTCTGGTCTTAGAATTCTTGATCCAGTGGATATCTCTGCCGGATTTACTTCTGTAAAAGATAAAACAAATATATCATTGATTTCTACTGATATTTATGTCCATTTATCTCTAAGTGCCATCTCCCTGATTCTTAATCTACAAAATCAAGCGGTCAATGCCTTGCGTTTTCAAAAAGCTGATCCTTTGTCTCCTTGTACCAACTTCGATCGCGTTTGGGTGTCTCCAAAAGGTGTTCTCTTCCTTCCCCTTTACACTCACTATTCCATTTTTGCCCCTTTATTGTCATGCCATGCCATGCCACCTACTTGTTAGCTGTCTTAACTCTTAACAAGAACGGGAAATTACTTTCTTTTGCAGCGAAAGGGCATCATAATGCCATTACATTCTGGAGACCTCGAGCTCCCTCCAATTATGTCATTTTGGGAGATTGTGTGACTTCCAGGTAATAATTTTTTTGTATATAATATATATGTTTAAGCAGTTCTCTTTAGTTGTGTTATTAATAATCAAGTTGAATTTAGGCCTATTCCTCCTTCACAAGCTGTTATGGCTGTGAGTAATACATACGGGCGTGTAAGGAGGCCTCTGGGGTTCAAGCTTGTTGGGTTATTCTCTTGTATCCAAACACCTGAAAGACCAGAAGATTGTCCAGGTGTTGATTCCGACTGTTCTCTATGGGAACCAATTGCACCCCCAGGATACCTAGCTGTAGGATGTGTTGCACATATTGGAAACGAACCGCCACCTAATCACATCGTCTACTGTATCCGTGCTGACCTGGCAACATCCACAGCGTATTCAGCATGCATGTTCAACGCTCCCCCAAACAACACATATACATCAGGATTCAGCATATGGCGACTGGACAACTTTGTTGGATCATTCGATGCAAATCCTTCTATTAGCTGTCCCCCACTCGACAGATGCTATGATCTTAACCTTCTTCTTCTTTTGAACTCGAGCTGGCGTCGTCTCTCTGGAAGAGAACCCAGGTCTGATACAAATGTTGACCAGGAGACTACAAACCAACAAACCAATAACAACAAGGATACAACTTTATCTTCATCAAATACCAAAGCTAGTTGCTCCATGTCAACTCCAAATTTTGAAAGGATCTGGTGGGACAAGGGCTGTGATACCCGCAGACCAATGTCCGTGTGGCGACCTATTCCACGTCCCGGATTTAAGATTTTAGGTGACTGCATAACTGAAGGGTTAGTTAGACATCTTTCTTGTCTTATATACTTCATTTTCTCATTGTTTTCTGAAAATCTTTATTGGTTAAGCATTTTTTTTTTCGCCTTCTCAGTTTGGAGCCACCTGGGTTGGGGATAATTTTTAAGGCTGACAGTGGTGACCTCTGTGCAAACCCTGTTCAGTTCACTAAAGTTGCTCATATTATAATCAGAGGTGTGGACGAGGCCATTTTTTGGTACCCAATTGCACCTCCAGGTTATGCTTCTATGGGCTGTGTAGTTACTCGTGTAGATAAAATGCCAAAATTGAATATCCTTTGCTGTCCAAGGAACGATCTTGTTACCCAAGCTAATATTCATGAGAATCCAATATCCAAATATCAAAGTTCAAAAGTAAACCAAAGCTGGAGTATCTGGAAAGTTGATAATCAGGTCAGGATTTATAATTGTTAAAATTGGGCATTAGATTCCTTTTTAGTATTTATTAACCGTTTTTTTTTTTGGATAATTTTAGGCCAACACTTTCCTTGCACGGTCCGACATGAAGCAGCCTTCAAGCCGCCTGGCGTTTACTATTGGTGATTCTGTGAAACCAAAGACACGAGACAACATAATGGCAGAAATAAAATTGAAATGCTTCTCTCTAACCATTTTAGACAGTCTGTGTGGAATGGTATATTTTTCTTGTCTACTGTCAAAAAATTTATATGTTCTTATTCACTCATGTTGCATGCGTTTTTGCAGATAACACCTTTTTTTGATGTTACTGTCACCAACATTAAGCTTGCGACACATGGCGGAATGGACTCCATGAATGCTGTGCTGATTTCCTCGATTGCTGCATCAACTTTTAACGCACATTTAGACTCATGGGAACCCATTGTGGAGCCATTCGATGGAATATTCAAGTATTACCTTACCTATATTGTTTATTTCATTTTGGTCATAGTACACTGCCTTTCATTTACTCTTCATTTCCTTTTGAAGATTTGAGACATACGACACGAATGAGCACGCAGGAAAAAAAGCTCGGATTGCAGCTACAAGTGTCCTTAATGTAAACATTAGTGCTGCAAATATTGATACTTTTGCTGAAACCATCCTTGCTTGGAAAAGACTGAGAGAACTAGAACAAAAGGAAATCAAGTCAAATGAGGTATGTTATCAGTTATCTTCAACAATTTCTGGTATTTCAATTACATAAATTTGATGTTTAATGTTTCCCTTTTCTCTGTGAATAAACAGGAAACTAGCAGTCGTATCATTGATGAAGATGATTCACTTTTTTCTGCATTGGATGTGGACGAATTCCAGACAGTAACCATAGAGAACAGACTTGGATGTGACATTTACTTGAAGAAGTTTGATCAAAGTTCTAATGCAGTTAGCCTGCTGCACTATGATGATAGTGCTTCTGTGTGGATTCCACCTTCAAGATACTCGGATCGATTAAATGCGGTTGAGGATTCAAGGGAGGGACGATGTTATGTTGCAGTCCAGATAATCGAAGCCAAGGTTGTATTATCAACATTAGTGTCATGAAATATGTCTGAACATGATTGCTAATACTCAAAACTTTCAGGATCTACCAACTGTTGATGATGGAAATAATAATACCTTCTTCTGTGCACTTCGGCTTGTTGTTGATACTCAAGAGGGAAGTCAACAGAGGCTGTTCCCTCAGAGTGCAAGGACCAGATGCGTTCAGCCATTGATTTCCATAGCTAATGATCTTGGCAATGCCACATGGGATGAACTTTTTATCTTTGAAGTTCCTCGCAAGGTATGTTGAAATTTCACAACTTATAGTAATTATTTGTTTATAATCCTCGAAAAAATGTCATTTGGTATTGTTACAGGGGATGGCTAGGTTGGAGGTTGAAGTGACTAATCTTGGAGCCAAAGCAGGAAAAGGTAATTTAACTTTTAAAATTGAAATGTGATACATCTACATTGTGGTTTCTAGTATATCCACGAGCTGATATTATTTTATTTTTCTATAACCAGGTGAAGTTGTGGGTGCTTCAACAATCTCAGTTGGACATGGTGCAAATCCCTTGAGAAAGTTAGCCTCAACTAGAATGTTGCAACAGGCAACTGGGGGTCAGAAAGCCGCCACACACCTTCTAATGAGAAGGGTTAGTGATTTGTCATTTTCATGTTTTTATCTGTTCTGAACTTTTGATATCTAATAATCTGCAAGTCATGATGTTATTACATTAGGGTCAACAAAAGACCGATGATTTGCCTTTTCAAGGGTGTCTGGTAGCCTCTACGTCCTATTTTGAAATGAATACAGGTTCAACCCTGCAAAATGAAGAGGAGAAAGACGCAGACAACGATGTAGGATTCTGGGTGGGACTTGGTCCTGAAGGTGTTTGGGAGAGTTTTAGATCATTCCTTCCACTTTCAGTCATGACAAGAAAACTGGACAATGAGTACTTCGCCATGGACGTAGTCATGAAAGATGGAAAAAAGCGTGCAATTCTTAGAGGTCTTGCAACAGTCGCAAACGATTCAGACATTAAGTTGGATATAAACGTATGTTCAGTTTCCAAAAGTCATGATCCTGATCAGCCTTCTGAATTAGTTGAAGGCAATACTGCCATTGAAGAAATCTTTGAAAACCAAAGGCATAGCACAATTTTAGGTTGGGGTAACAAGCGGAGTTTCCGTGGGAATGAGCTAGGTCGTTGGAGCAACAGAAATCTTTCATATTCAACCAATGTAAGTTACAAGTCAATATTTCTTCTTTTTTTTTTTTTTTTCTTCAAATTTCAAAAACATAAGCTGATCTTTTCCACGTCAGACTTTCTATGAACCACCGCTTCCACCTGGATGGGCATGGGTGTCAGCGTGGACAATCGATAAATCCGATTCTGTTGATGTGGACGGATGGGCATACGGGAAAGACTACCAAACCCTAAAATGGCCTCCAACTCCTCAAAATGCTTTAAGAACAAATCAAGATAATGTACGCAGAAGACGTTGGATTCGTACAAGGCAAAAAGACGGTGAACAACAGACATCAAACACCGGTTCTGCTATCCGTGTCTTACAACCTAATTCTTCTTTAGTATTACCATGGAAATCCATGTCCAAGGATTCCGATAGTTGTTTACAAATTCGCCCTTCTGCTGACCATGTTCAAGGGCTGTACACATGGGGTTGTCCTGTTGGGTCAGCTTCTTCTGGTCCTAGTGGGTCGAAAGAGAAAGACAAAGACAAAGACAAAGACAAAGATCATTCTTCACACGACTCTAAAGAGAATTTATTGAAACCAGGGAAGAAGACGAAGAGTTCTTCAATGAAGTTGAATCAACTTGAGAAAAATGACACACTTTGGTGTTGCCCTACGAGTGAAGGCACACAGTTTTGGCTTAGTGTAGGTGCAGATGCGTTAGTTCTTCAGTCGGACCTAAATGCCCCTGTTTATGATTGGAAAATTACGGTCAGTGCCCCTTTGAAATTGGAAAACCGACTTCCTTGTCCAGCACAGTTCACTATATGGGAAAAGTTGGGAAATGGAAATACATCTGAGAGACAGCGTGGCCTTATACAATCACGTGCTGTAGTCCCCATATATCATGCTGATGTCCGAAATCCTCTATTTCTTACATTATCAGTTCAAGGTGGATGGACATTGGAAAAGGTATGTCATTATCTGTTTTCATCAGAAATTTGTATTTAATTTTAATCAAAGATAATTCAGAAACGTTTTCTTCTCTCTCTCCCTCTCTCACACACTCTCTTCTTTAAAACCAGGATCTTGTTCCTATATTGGATCTTTCGACTAATGCTCACGCTTCCTCATTTTGGATGGTCCATCAGAATAAAAAAAGGTTTGTATTTCCTGTATATTCTGATTATTTTCACTTGTTCAAAGTCTATGTATTTGTAAGAATACATATACATCTTTTCAATCTAAGTAGCAAAAAAATTGAATGAGATTGTTTCTAATAAGATATTCTATTTGTTCATCTCATAATTGGGTATGAGAAAAGGACAATTGCGAGAAAAAGAAACTTACTTTACTCTTGCTACTGATATGGGCGTCGTACTTTATTTTTTTAATCCACAATAGCAACGTACTTATATTTCTTTATATAGATAATAGCAATTTACTTCACTTTTTACCAATAATAGCAATGTACGTACATTTTGCTACGCACATATTGCTATTATTGGTAAATAAATGCAAGTATGTTGTTAGTGAGTAACAAATTGTGTGTATGTTGCTTTTATGGGTTACATATTGCTATTAACAGTAAAAAGTACATTGCTATTATGGGTAAACAGATGAAGTACATCGCCTATAGGGGTAAAAAGAGTAAAGTACATTGCTATTTCCTGTAGTTTTTCTTATAAAAATGCCAATTAATTTACATGATACAGGAGATTACGCGTGAGCATCGAACGTGACATGGGAGCAACTGCGGCTTCTCCAAATACCATAAGATTTTTTGTCCCGTATTGGATAAGTAATGACTGTTCTATCCCCCTTACATATCAAGTGGTAGAAATCGACCCTTCAGAGAGTGCAGATGCAGATCCCTTACCAGTTACAAAACCTGCCAGATCTGGAAAATTTAGCTTTAGGGGTACTTTTAGTCTCTCAGAGCCAAAATCAACTGGCTCAAGGAGGAACATCCAAGTTCTAGAAGCAATTGACGACACTAGCCCTACTCCCAGCATGTTTTCCCCACAGGACTATGTGGGACAGGGGGGCAATATGCTGTTTTCATCTCGAAATGATGCCTATCTTTCACCTCGTGTGGGTATAGCTGTTGCCACTCAGAATTCTGATGTTTTTAGTGCTGGACTATCACTTCTTGAGCTCGAAAAGAAGGTGAGTCTCATTTTCTATTCTTGAAATAATTTTATCACCTCACTCGAACATCTATTTAGCTAATGGTAATGTCTCACCTTTTTCCTCTCATAGCAAAGAGTGGATGTTAAAGCTTTTAATACAGATGGATCTTACTACAGCCTTTCGATTCTACTTCACATGACATCCGATAGGACAAAAGTAAATTTACACCTTTTATGGATTCTCATTTTAACTTTACAGTTTAGACTCGAGATCTATATTTAACTTTACGATTCAAATTACTTAATACAGGTTGTCCATTATCAGCCACACACCGTGTTTTATAACAGGGCTGGATTAAGCTTATGTCTGCAACAATCTGGTACTCAGGCACTTACTTGGCTTCATCCTATCGATACTCCAAATCTTTTTAAATGGCAGGCATCCGTCAAAGTTGAATTATTGAAGGTCTGGATAGTGAAATTATGAATATATTATATCTCTGCTTTGCTTGATTAATCGATCATGTGCTTACTTTTCTTTCATGGTCAAAATTTAGTTGAAAATCGATGGATACCAATGGAGTATGCCATTTAGTGTTGCAAATGAAGGCTCCATGCGCATTTCCTTGAAAAATGAAACTACTGGCAAATATTTATATCTGAAAGTTGAAGTAAGAAGTGGAACAACAAGCTCACGTTTTGATGTCATCTTTCGTCCCAATTCATTTTCCAGCCAGTACAGGTAATTTTGATTTTTTTTTTCTTGATATATGAAATAGAAATTGAATAAATCAAAATCTTGAGAAAAACTAAATAAAACTCGGTGGGTCTACATGGCAGGATTGAAAACCGTAGTATGTTTTTACCCTTCCATTTCCGGCAAACTGAAGGTGGTGATGATTCATGGTGTTGTCTTCCTCCTTGTACAACTGCTTCATATTCATGGGAAGATCTTGGTAGGCAAAAAATGTTGGAAATCCGTATGGATGATGACACGAAAGAGCCAACTAAATACAATATTGATGATATTCGTGATTATCCACCTGTTCAAGTGGATGAGGGACCCACTAAAGCAGTGCGTGTTACTATAATGAAAGAAGAAAAAATGAATGTGGTTATGATACGCGACTGGATACCAGACAACAACGAATCCAAAGAAGATACAAGCAAATCCATTGTTGCAGCATCTTCATCACAACAAACGAATAGTAAAGATCTCCAACCAGAAGTTGTCACATCAGATTCTGAAGTCCATCTTACTCTTGAACTCATAGAATTCGGATTATCAGTTATCGATCATACACCTGAAGAGATACTGTATTTATCGGTGCAGAACCTTCAATTGTCACATTCATCTGGTTTAGGCTCTGGAATCTCCAGGTAATTAATGTCTTAACATTATTAAATATTATCACTCCAATTTAGAATAAATATTGGCTGTATTCTATTGCTAATCCATGTTCTGATGTATTTATTTATAGGATGAAATTAAGAATGCGTGGGATCCAAGTTGACAATCAGTTGCCTTTGACACCAATGCCTGTTATCTTTAGGCCACAAAGACTTGGAGTAGAGGCAGACTATGTATTGAAATTTTCCATGACACAACAATCTGATGGATCAGTAGATTTTGCTGCTTACCCTTACATCGGTTTGCAAGTAAGTCCTTTTTTCTCTTGTAGCAAATACTTTAATAATAATCATACTTATTTAACACCCTCCAAACATTTTGTAACAGGGTCCTGAAAACTCTGCCTTTGTGATAAGTGTTCACGAACCAATTATCTGGCGACTTCATGGCATGGTCCAGCAGATTGACTTTAGTAGATTCGGTGATAATAGTGAAACAACTGCTGTCAAAGTGGACCCCATCATTGACATCGGGTATGCACTGTTCAACTTCAACCCCTTTCCCAATTCCCACCTCTCTTGAATTTTTCTGTATTAACATGTTTTTCAATTGCAGTGTTCTAAATATCTCAGAGTTTCGATTTAAATTCTCCATGGCCATGTCGCCAACTCAGCGCCCTGTGGGTGTACTCGGATTTTGGGCTTCCTTAATGACAGCTCTTGGGAACACCGAAAATATGCCAGTAAGTATTTGACTTTTTCCCAAATCTATCATATAATCATCCAATTAACAAGAATAATAATGTATGCATGCTGTGATTGTTCACAGATTCGTGTAAATCAAAGATTCCTGGAAAACTTATCTCTAAGACAAAGTGTTCTCATCACAAATGCCATCTCAAATATCACAAAAGATATCCTAAGCCAGCCTCTTCAGCTACTCTCTGGTGTAGACATATTAGGAAACGCCAGCAGTGCATTTGGACATATGTCTAAAGGTGTTGCTGCTCTATCAATGGACAAAAAATTCATTCAAAGTCGCCAGAGACAGGTTTGTTTTGTTATTTTCAGTTGTCATAAATGATTAAAGTAGTTATTTATTATTTAAATTAAACATGCAGGAAAACAAAGGGGTTGAAGATTTTGGTGATGTGATAAGAGAAGGTGGAGGGGCATTAGCAAAAGGTCTATTCCGTGGAGTTACTGGCATTCTAACAAAGCCTCTAGAAGGTGCAAAAGCATCTGGAGTTGAAGGTTTTGTTTCGGGGGTAGGTAAGGGTATAATAGGCGCTGCAGCACAACCTGTAAGTGGAGTCCTTGATTTATTATCAAAAACAACGGAAGGTGCAAACGCAATGAGAATGAAAATAGCAGCTGCCATTACTTCAGAAGACCTCCTTCTTCGCAGAAGACTCCCTCGTGTTATCAGTGGTGATAATTTACTTAAACCATATGATGAATACAGAGCACAGGGACAGGTATATATATATATATATGGAGTGGGACCCAAAACATAAAAAAATGTTGAATGACGGCATTGCCCCTTACACATCTTTTTTTTTTTTTTTACACAAATGCAGGTTATACTTCAGCTTGCGGAATCGGGTTCGTTCTTTTTGCAAGTGGATTTGTTCAAAGTGCGTGGAAAGTTTGCATTATCGGATGCTTATGAAGACCATTTCTCACTACGTAAAGATAAAATACTTCTTGTGACACATAGAAGAGTCATGCTCTTACAGGTATTATTTGTTATTAGTCTTCAAAAAAGAGTAAATTAAAACTTTGGTGATCCAGGGACCAAAGTTGTTATGAAACATAAAAATAAGGCAAACCGAACATTATAATTTGTTGTTAAATGAGTATTTTTGGGGCAGACATCCAACATTATAACACAGAAGAAATTCAATCCGGCTAGAGATCCGTGCTTGGTGTTGTGGGATGTTTTATGGGAAGACCTGGCAACCATGGAACTAACAACAGGGAAAAAAGATCACGCGAATGCACCTCCATCGAAGCTTATCCTGTACCTGAAATCCAAAACTTCAGATAACGATCAGAAACGCGCTGTAAAATGCTACCGTGATACCAAACAAGCAATGGAGGTTTATTCATCTATTGAACAAGCAATGCGTACGTATGCGCCAAAAGGATCGTTGAAGGTATGTATCACTTTAAAAATCTATTCCTTTAGTGTTTGTATCCTCCACATAAAAAACAAAAAGCGAATGAGTTTTTTTTTTTTTTTTTTTTTTTTTTTTTTTTTTTTTAAATATTAAAGGAAGCACATAAAAGAAAAGTGAAAAGACCGTATGCTGCAACAACGGATGTATCGACTGCTGAAGCGGTTTTCCTAAAAGAAAGGCCGTGGACTTCAGCTCAAGTGCCTGCACCACTTCCTCCAAATTCAACTTTTGGCAGCAGCAGTGCCGGTGATGCTCATTCTTAGACATATGTCGGTTGACTTAATTATTAACTCATCTCTATAAAAGGTAAAGGTATGTTAATATTTGTTTTCTGACTACCTTATCAATATTATTTTGCTAATACATAAATATAAAATTTGTAGAGGATTTCCATCCTTGAAGGTGGAGAGAATTTGGAAAGAAAGGTGCCGATTTTGCTTGTACAAAACAGATGATCCATCTTTTTATTTGGAAAAGGGTAGGTATGATGGTGTTTGGCGTCACTTGTCAGTGGTACTTGTGGAGAGAGAGCATATATATACAGAGAGAATAGATGCAAATATATATATATATATATATATATATATATATATATATATATATATATATAGAGGTGATGGACATGGACATGTTTCCATCCATTGGTGTACTGTACTGATTGTAAGTTGATGTTGTATAGCTTTCTTTCTTTTCACATGCAAATGCAAAATCTCTGCTCTTTATCATCAACATTTTATTACATAAACAAAATGACCTTCATGATGTCATGTGAAACAACATTCTAAAACTAATAGTAGTAATACTTTACTACAAAGTAATAATAAACTTGTATCAAAATGTAACAAGAAAATATATATA